TCTGGATGTAGAACGGTTCCCTCACTAGGGTGCCAACCTTCTTATAACACACCCATGATCTATGCAGATGCTTTCTGTATGGACAGTGCCCTCACTGATCCCTCCACTTTATCAATGTGGGATTCTAGCTGTAAGAAGTAAGAATATTTGGGAAGTTAACATTTTCTTAAATCGAAAATGTATTTCCAATAATACTTACTTTTGTTCACACTCTCCTGTCCTTCATCTCCACTACGAGCTAGTGTTAGAGACTGCAGAAAACTGATAACCATACCTGAAATGAGGTGCTACTTATATACAGTACCAGGATAGAGGGCACATTGACGTAGATGGAGAGTATCACGAGACAAATATCGTCAAGGGCAATTGAGTGTGCCAAAATGCGAGGAGAAAGTTCAGACAAACAACCGACAACCTAGTAAGATTGGTCAAAACTATACACCAAGGATTTAATCGTAACCATTCCATAGTTGTAGCCTTTATGGACGTAAAACAAGCATTCGACACTGTCTGGCATATTCCCCTAAAGTATAAGCTATCTAATAACATAAATTCTGTTACATTTACGGGATGGCTTTCTAGCTTTATCACCCACAGAACTGTTAAAGTTAACAATTGCATGTCCAATGCATTCCTACTGAGAGCTGGAGTCCCCCAGGGCTCTGTCCTCAGCCCACTACTCTACATCCTCTTTGTAAAAGACATACCGCTTCCACGGCTACTATATACACTCATCTCTCAGTATGCCGATTACATTGCTGTCTGGAGCACATCACGTGACCTGCTCACCACTGCGTCCAGAGTCCAAGATGCATTAAATCAATTAGTTAAATGGTGTAGCAAATCGAGAGTATTTCTCAACCAAATCAAAACACAGGAAACAGCATTTAACCAAAAAATAAGAAGATAATACAAGAAAATCAGAATACTAAAACTCACAATATATAACACTCTAGTCACCTTTAAGATTACCAACAAATTTTTAGGTATCACATCAAATTCACGCTTATCGTGGACCACTCACTATAACAACATCCTCAAAAAGACAAGTAGCAGGTTGGCACTCCTTCGACGAATTGGGGGAATAAACACAGGATGCAATAGCCACTTCATCATCAACATCTACAAAGCTTACGAATATGTAATATGCCCGACACAATATATAAAATGATTCAACAGCAACAGGCCACTGTGAGCAAAACAGCATTCAATATCCCCAAATACAGCCGAAAAATCTATGTCAATAACCTCATCGATATACCTGTCATCAAAGACTGCATTCACACTAGCCCAAAACAGAAACAGTCAAACAAGTATCTTTCCCGTCTTAGCAGCAACACCCTCTACATGGCAAACATACATCTCTCCATTCAACTATATAGTTACGGCAGCGGTAGTCACGTGACGCTGGTAACATGACATGATATTCTAGAAGGATCGGGAAACATCACGAATAATTCAGTATGTGCTAAGTGCCCTCTATTCCTGTATATAAGTGCGCCATATAACGTGAGACAAATTAATCTGAATTGAATTGCAGAAAGGCAGAGATAAAGACGAACAATTGAGTCAAGCACGGTAGAGACCGGAAGTAAGTGCGTGAAACATTGTGAATTATAGCATATTGTTACATCTCTGTTCGTTAATTAATTTTCCGTATAATTTCTTTCCGAAGAAACTTTAGCGATACAAGTCCTTTCTTAAATAAAACTGGTTTATTATTTCTAAATACAACTTTGCAATACACTTAATTTCCACAGTCACACTATAATTCACAACGAACAACACGTGCTCGACTCAATCGTCAATCTCTGTCTGCAGTTCAATTACATTGTTGCCATCAGTTCTTACTGGTCTTATATATACAAGAATACCGCATATCTGGTAACCTCCCAAAACTTCAGGAAGGGAGAGGATCCTTCTAGAAATTCATGACGTGTTACTAGCGTCACGTGACTTCCGCTGTTGTAACACTGCTCCTTCCTTAGTATTGTTCTTTACGAACAATAGCCACTTACATTAAACCAATAAACAATAACTTAATTAAAAGTACAGAATTTACAAACACAAAATCAAAATTCAACAAAGTCTCTTAATTTTACGGGACATATCTTCTTCCGTACTGGTCTCCGTCTCGTTGGCTTCTGCTTTAAGTTGGGTTCATCTTCTGTCATTGGTAACAGTCACATCAGTGGCAGTAACTTCATCAAGGGCTTCACTGTTTCCCTTCTCAAAACAGAGTAGAGTTTCTTCTTCGACAGTGGCTTTTTCAGGTGACATGTCTTCAGCAGCGACACTTGTTCCATTGTTCACTTCGCCCCAACTGAAATGTCCTGGACCATGATAACGCCAAAGCCTGTTGGCATGCACCACCTTTAGCTCACCTCGCCGACCACATTTTATTTGGAAAGTCACGTCTGAGAGACGATCCACTATGTCATATGGGCCTTCCCATGGAGAAGACAACTTAGGAGACTTCCCTTTGGTCTTCCTGGGATTATACAACCACACCTTGTCTCCTGGTACAAAGCTGACTTCAGTAGATCTCTTATCATAAGATAGCTTCATGGAATCAGCAGACGTTTTCAAGTTTGAACGCACTTGATGGTGATGATCATCCATCCTTTGCGATAACACTTTCACGAACTCTGACACATTTTCAGGCAACTCTTCGTAAGGTGGGCGTACTGTTATCAG